ATGATTTCTTTGCCACACATTTATAACCCCTGCATCACTAATGCAGCAGCAGTCCAGTTTCCCATTGAGTTTGAGGATTGAAGCTGTACCAAAGTGATTGATGTCATAAGGAAAACTGCATTTGCTCATATTTGATCATGCTTCCTTTACTGCTGGAGCAGGGATTAATTACTGGGATTGGTAGAAAAATCTCCCCCTTCCCTTCTGCCTTTCACCATGTGAGTCCTAACCAATTATGCCAGGGTGATTTAGGACATCTGCCAAACAGCATATAACACCCTTCAAGTCATGCTGGCTTGTACCTATAGCTTTGACAAGTTACTTTTTTTGAACATGACTACACCAGTTAGAGGATTATGGGAGTTATACTGAATGTTCACATACTCTGAAGGCACCAAATCCCATCTGTTCTTGGAAGCTAAGCAGAGTCAAGCATGGTTAATATTGGGATGGGGAACTAGTTGCTGTAAGCTATATTTCAGAGGAAGGCAAAGGCAATTCCCTTCTGAATATTCCTTGCATAAGAAAACCTTATAAAACCCATGGGGTCACCATAAACTGACAGGCAATTTGAAGGCACATACATACAAATTTCAGAAAGTAACTTTTCAGTGCTTTGTTACTACCCAAATTCTATCATTTGGTCATTCAAGGAAGAAGATTTTCTAAGCATTTCTCCCTTTCCTTGGAATTAAAATACATTTTATAAAACACATCAAATAATTGACAATTTGCTGTGGTTTCATGAGACTAAAAAAATCTACTGGTAAATGCTGCTCTTTTACCCTGCCAATGGTAGTGCCAGCTGTGGGTAGAAGAGAGGGAATCCAGAGGCTCTGTCAGTAAGGAGTACTAGGGAGGAGGAGAAGAAAAGAAGAAGAAAAGGAATTGAATTCTTCTCCAGCTTGGATTAAAACAAAGGCTTCAGAAGAAATCTGAGGACATAAACAATGTCTAAGGAGTATTATTAGTCACTGAGATTTGTATTGTGAACTAAGTGTTTACAAAGGGCATAACCAGTATCTGAGATCTGTATTCTAAACCAAGGAAGCACAAATTTCAGGAACACCTATAATTTGAACCCACAGCCTCTCACAGCACAATGAGTGAAGTATATTCTTCTCTCAGTGCATTGTCAATATCAGTAGCATCACTGTGTGTGTGTGGGGTGTGTATGTGTGTGTGTGGACCGCACTGGGTGACACCCCAGAAGGGGGGTGACACCACAGAAGAGAGGGTGACACCAGGTTGGCCCCTGCCCCCCACAGGTGCTCCATGGAGGTCTCCACCCTGGGTGAGCAGTGGGCAGATGTTTTCCTGGCCATGCTGTCATTTTTCTCAGCTGCACATCCATTTTTCTAGGTCCCAGGGGAGTCTCCGGGCAGTGGGTGGCAGTTTTCCCAGCTGTGCTGCTATTTTTCTTGCCCGTGTGGCTGTTTTCCTAGGTCTTGGGGTGTCTCTGAGTGGTGGGCAGCTATTTTCCCAGTAGCGCTGCCACTTTTCTTGGCTGTGCCACCATTTTCCCAGACCTTGGTGGAGTCTCCGAGCCTCAAGGAAGGGTCTCTGGCCCCAGTGGACAGCTGGTGGCTGTTTCTGCAGCCCACGGGACTGCTTTCTGCATGACCTCACCCCTGGAAGTCCCTCTGAAAGTCCTGGCTGGTAGTCCTGCCCCCTGAAGCCCCGCCTCCCTGCACTGGATGACATCCCGAGTGAGGATGTCACTGGTCAATATGGGGGAATTTCAAAGCTATAGAATGGCTATAAATTGAGAAAGCCAATACTTTCAGCATTTCTGATGGACTGAATCACTCCTATCTGTGGAACAACAACAAAGAATTAGGCATTTATGATTTAATCCATTTCCCCACAACCAACCAATTCAAAGCACATACATACAGTCTTAAATTCCATTTCAATCCTATGCTGTGGTTCTCTAAAAAAGTGGTGAATTTCAGAAAGCTTCCTTTCCGATGTTTCTATTAATATTCTTAAGCACTACATTTCATTAGAACTAGGGGAAATATTCAGAATGACTACATGATTGAAAATGTATGTCAAAAATTAATAGATATTCAATAAATGTATCCTTGAAATTGTACTCAAGGAACTATTGCAAAATGGAACTATTTAATCAAGGCTGCTCTGGGAAGAATATGCGGTCCCATATTGAGGGGCTGGTAAGACATTAGGTTTGAGATAACCTGTTTTGTCTTTTTTAAAAAAGAGCCCCAAATCCCTGAACAAGAGTGAGATGCAAAATAGTTGTTGAGTGGTACTGAAATCAGAAACAGAAGTGATGAGGGGAGCATGTGGGGAGCTTTAGCACAATGAGCCAGTGGAGCCAGTAGCCTTGGTGCAATGATCCATGTGCTGGTGTGACCTATATATACCAGTACAAATCTGCCTCTGAGTTACCTGTGCATCAGGGATTCTAATACAAAACTTCAGAATGGGAAACAGAATTGCACAAAGACAACTTGATGAGAGGTAACCAATTTACAAGTGAGGAACACTGCAAATAAAACTGATGAAGCAATTAGCATGAACCAATCTTGGTATAACACTTCTCTACTTTTCTCAAACACCCTCACCCCCCTTCTGCCAAGTTTTGCTTGCTATGCTTGGAACTTGATAATGTTTTGGATGATAGCTGTCACAACTTACCAACTAACACAGCTGGTGGCCTTGTTGGCTGGGAGATACTGGAAATTGTAGTCCCACAAAGGAACTATTCCAAACTCTGGTTACACTTATAAGCAAAGTGTGGCCTGCTGGCTGCATGTGGCCTTTGGAGACCCAAAAGTGTAGACCTTGGGACCCTCATGAAGTTCCCCCATACCCCTAGAGCCCTTGACATTTGAGCAATTTGAGCATCCTCCAAAATCATTCAAAACTCCTGCTCCTCATAACCCTAAAATGGGGGAGGGCAAAAGCTAGCCAAAATCAAATATCTGAAGTCACTTCCTGTTGTGTTGTGTGCTGCAGTGCAGCTTGTAGGAATTGCACAGGATGAAAATTGGTTCCCACACCTCTGCAGTTGCCCAGCCCTGTCTTAAACCATTGCTGATCTACTGCTAATCACCCATTAATCTATCATCAGATCCCAATCCTACCTCCTTCAGTAAGACTTAATTGTACATGATGGTGCATTAATAACACCCTCCATCATGTATATAAAGAGGGTGGGAGTCTTACTTTTGGAAGATCATGAGGGTGAATGAAATCTCTACCCAACTGCCTGCTTTTTTATTTTTGAGTCAGTTTCTGTTTTCAGGGAAGCATCATCAGATCGAAGCACATTTATCTGCTACTCTGCTGTAAGAAGGCTAATTCCTAACAGTTTTAGCTTTTATATTTTCATATTTTTCCCAGACAAAGGCTAATCACCTGGGAAACTTTAACTTCCATCAGAATGTGCTTCAACTTTTACAAACTAGGGCACTTTATTTTCATTTATCTCTTTTGTCAAGCCACTACAGCCCCCACCTGTGCTTCCACAAAGCTATTCCTATGGCTTGGGGGACCAGCTGGAGCAGAATGGGTTATAGCCCAGATTGCTATAATAAAATGGAGACATTTGTGAAAATGGACTGCACTTATTTGTGTGAGCAGAAGTCCTTTCTACAAGAACAAAGCCACCCTTGATATGACCCATAGAGACAAAAGCAGCTTTATTTGTTGCTGTGGCAAATTAGGTCCCTATATTTCATGTAAGGCAAGGGTTGGCAACAGGTTGCCTCCCTTCAGATTTGGTTCAAGCTCCCTTCAGATCTCACCTGCATAGCTAATGGTGAGGGATGCTCGGATTTGGAATCCACATATATCTAAAGATTTGTATATTCATTTTCCCTAAGGGGAGAATAAGCCAGTATGGTGTAGTGGTTTGAGCACTAGACTATGACTTTGGAGACCAGGGTTCAAATCCCCACTCAGGCATGGAAACCCACGGGGTGATCTTGGGCAGGTCACACTCTCTCAGCCTCAGCGGAAGGTAAAGACAAACCCCATCTGAACAAAAATCTTCCCCAGAAACCCCTGTGATAGGATTTCCTTGTCACCATAAGTCAGAAACAACTTGAAGGCACACAACAGAAAGGCAGGATAGTGTAATGGGAAGTCTACCACCCTCTCCCCCATTTAAGAGGCACAGCTGGATTACTTATGAATATGATGAATAAAGTGACCTATGAAAGAAAGTTCATTACCAAATCTTAGGAATAGAACATACCTTGGCTGAAACCCAGTTCAGAGTTCTTTTGATTATTGAGGCCATTCAAATTTGCCCATCTTAAACCTCTAGCTCTCCCACAGAAAATGATATAAGTCACAGTAGCAGTCAAATCAAGGTAAAAAGGTAGAGCAGGACAGAAAAAAAGTAGTTAAAATGTAAGGAAATAAGGACAAAAATCTGTCATACAGTGAGTTTCACAATCCTGGACTGGATGGGTTAAGGAAGGATTGTCAAATATGGATGGTGGGTGGGGGAAGAGCATGATTCAAGGGCAACCTATAATGCATCTCTGATCAAATTGTAAAGGCTGTATTTTGTATTCAGGAGATGGGGAAGAATAAGAAATGAATAAGAAAGGATACTGTCACATACGCTGAATGGCCCGTTGACCTACAATTCCTTACCTGTGACACAAAGATTGAATTCTTTCCCATACATAATATTTCTGAGAAATGTAAAGGCTGCACAAATGAGTGGAATAGATTATTTCCAATATGTTAACATAAAGCTAAAGGAAACCAGTGTTGTCTGAATTTCATTTGTGCAATACTCACATACAGACATATTACTGACATAAATATGAGAAATTACTTGAACTGAATGTCTTTCTGTTTTCCAAGTACAAATCAGTGACATCAATGATTTGGCTGCCCATTTACAGCTAAGGGGTAAAAGAAGATGGGTCAAACATCAGTTTGCATGTGGACACAAAATCTAAAGGTGTAGCTACTGGGGGTAGCAAAATGAAGGCATTGTCCCTCAGTAAGAATGCTGTGTGGTGTAGTGGTTTGAGTGTTCTCTACAACTCTGGAGATCAGGGTTCAATTCCCTGCTTGGCCATGGAAACCCATTGGGCAATCTTGGGTAAGTACACACTCTCAGCCCCAGAAAACCCTGTGAAAGGTTCACCTTAGGGCTGACTGAGCAGTGACTTGAAGGCATACAACAACAGAACAAAGAATTCTGCCCTTCAGTGAAATATTCCTCAAGTCTCCCAAATTCTGGCATTCCAGGGAGTGGGACACTGCCAATAATTCACACCTGTTTGCTGGACTCATATTGTCTCAATAATTTTGACTGCCTCATTTCTTTGGACACCTAAACTGTATGTATAAATGTTCAGCAAAACGTCATAGGTTACTGTAATGCTAGAAATGTGCGGACTGAATTTCATGAGGGGGCTCAATTCTTATTTGGAGGCAACACCCTCAATAGCCTGTAGCTATGCTTCATATTTATAGCAAAACAAAGTCTTGTGATTTTTATATCTCACAGGAAGAAAAAGCATCTCTCTCTCTGTGTGTGTGTGTGTGTTGGAGGGAGATTTTGAGCAGATAAACAGGTCAAAAAGAAAGGGTTAAATAGTCCCTCTCCTCATTCTTCACTTCTACTGCCCTTTTTTCCAGTTCACCTGCAGCTGCTGTACAAAATAAAAGGAAGCCCTCTGGGAGAAAAATATATCAACATTACATGGAATTACATGCCTTTATTTTATTTTATTTAAAAAAAACATAATCTGTGAAGACAAGTGATGCTGACAGTGAGGGTGGGGCAAGCAAATCTTTCAAATTCCTGCATTACTTCCTGCCTGAAGGGGAAAGCAGGTAGGAGTGGCAGAAATCAAAATGTGTTCAAAGGGTGCCATACAGACAAAACCACAAACTGTAGCATGCACACAGGGAAAACTTTGAACTCAGCACAGCCTGGAAACATCATCTTTTGGATGCATCTCCCAGCCAACAAGCTACAGGAGCTGCAATCCAAAAACGTAATATTTCCAAGCTCTGTGTCTATGGTAAAGACAGGAATCTTGTGGCCCTTCAGATGTTGTTTGGCTACAGGTCCACAGAGCCCCTGCTAGCAAAACCAATGGCAAGCAATTCTGGGAGTTTTAATCCAACCGCATTTGGAGGGCCACATGATCCCCACCCCTGCTATAAGAATAATATCTACTGCAACACAGTATTCTTTAGAGAAAGAGATGGTGTTGAACTATAGTTCCCAGTAGCTCTAACCAGCATAACCAGTGATGAGGAATGCTGGGAGTGACAGTCCAATGTCTGAAGAGCTGCTTGTTTCCTACCTCAGTCCTAAGGAATGATGTTTTACTAAATTTCATTCATGAAATTTCCAGTGGCATAGGGCACTGGATAAACTCTGAAAAGGTAATAGAGATTGGTTCCATTAAGTTCAGTCTGTTGCAAATGTTCCTATTGGTGACAGAAGGAAACATGTGTATAGGAAATGATTCAGAAGGACTGCAAACACTTTGGAGGAGAAAAAACCCCAAACTAAAGACTCTGTTGTTGAACAAGCAGCATTTACAAGTGGCCCCTTTTGCACATGTAGTGCTGGAAAGTTGGCAGCATAATTTTCCTCAGACTATTTTAAAAAATCACCACACTTGACCTTAATAAACAAAAGTTGCTGTACATGAAGGGCTCACCCAGAAAACAGACAAAACCTTCAGCTTGATTCAGACTACCCTTGATTGCTTAACCAAAACTTCTAAAATCTTTTTAGCTAAACAATTTTTATGGACTTGTTCATACTAGAAATCACCTTGAGGCAAAGAGGAGTCAATCATGTGAACTAGTTTTCTCTACTCTTTTTATCCCCTTCCTCTTCCCATCTGCAGGCAGGCAGAGTTCACAAAGCGACAATATGAGACAGTGCAGAAGTTGACAAGAGTCCAAACCATTCCATTCCTTTTTCCTGTCTTTTGGAGAAAATGCCACTTGAGTCCACACATGGCCCACAACTATGTAATTTCAAAAAGATGTGCTTTGAGGGGAAAAAATATTGAGAGGAGTTGTGCCTCCTCTTCACTGGCATTTGTGAACCATGGACATACAATAATGGACAGATAGTCTCTACAGTTGATATACTTTCCAGTGACACCTCCCAGCTTTTTTTCTAATTGGGACAGATTTGATTTTCTAGCAATTGTCCTTAGCAAATGAGAGACTTCCTGGAGATGCTTTAATGTGTCTTTACAACACAATAGCATTGCACAGACTGAAAAGCTTCAGTTACCTTTAGGGGACTGTGATTCCTATACACTGTCAGCCAGTCTACCAACTGGCCAAGCTGGCCTGGGGACTTTGAATCTCAGAGCACCTCAAATATCATTTTTTTCAAGCTCTACTCTTGTCCTACAAGTGCTGAGAAGTTGTAGAGTTGCGAGGCTTATCCAGGTCCCCTCCCCTTTGGGAAAAGATCACTAGACACACACTGGCATTTTGTAATGTTTGAAATTACAAACACAGAAAGTGAATAGGTGAAGGTACAACACCACAACATATCTGTCAACAAGCTAAGATGCGTAAAAAGATAGACTCAGTTCATTAGTCCATTTTCCATAATGTGGTACCTCTTCTTTGTGTGTATGTGTGTGTTGTGTGCCTTCAGATTGGTTCTGACATATGGTGACCCTAAGGCAAATCTGTTTTCTTGGCATGATTTGTTTAGAGGTTTGCCATTGCCTTCCCTTGAAAGCATTTGACTTGCCCAAGGTCATCCTGAGGGTTTCATGGCCAAGTGGGAATCAAACCCTGGTCTCCAGAGTCATAATCCAGCACTCAAACTACTATGCCACACTTGCTCTCTATCTAAATCAAATCATGCTAAGGTAGGATGGTAAGAAAATCAGCCATTGAAAACCATTAGCCTAGCTCCCTCTGAAAAGGAGGATACTTAGTAGCTGTGGTAGAATGATTGAGGCCCTGTGCAGACCAGCCAAAAGGGCCAGGGGTGGAGTTGGGGCAGGGTGACCGCATGCCAGCTGCCTCGATTCTGCCCTGACAATGCTGTCACACTGTGTGCCCCAATGCACAGCACATGGTATCAGGGCGCCCCATTGGCACAACATGTAGGCACAAAAGAGCCATGGCAGTGATGCCAAGGGTGGCTTTTTGCCACCCCCAAAAGGAGCAGCATTTGTCAGTTCTTTTTGGAGTGGCAGAAAGCCAGATTGGGACTGCAGTGTGTAGTTGCCGTGGCCCCGATTCGGTGCTCCCCGTCTGTACGGCTCCTGAGTCAGTCTCCATTCCATTGGGTGTGCATGTGCCTTCAAGTCACCTGTTGATTTATGATGAATTTTTTCTTTTATTGAGCACAATGTGATGCACCAACAAGTAAACAGGTAGAACAGTATGTAGAGAGCCCAAGTCCTTCTGTTTCTACCCCTAAAGGCTGTCCAATACTTTGCGTAGGATTGCCCTACATATTCAATTGAATTTTATACAGATTATAACTGGGATTTTGCATAATATATTATATGACAAGTGTGACTTGTGAACTCCAGGCCAACGAATCAATCTGTTTTCATTTTTGGAAGTAAAGGGATTGGAGAAAATGTACAAGTCTGTACCTGTGTGGACAGTATGAAGGATAATGTTTTCTTCCTTAGTACTTTCTGTTATATAGTGTGTAATGATTATTCACTTGGATAGCCTCTGTAGCAAAAGAAGGCTGGAGGAAGGCAATAAAAATGTGGGAGGAGGTAGTTTCTCCTTTTCTTCTGGCACAAGACCAAATCTCTAACGGCAATCATCTTACATATTTCTTTTTTCATATCAGTTGTGGAAGTCCCTAGCTATTAGGAAGCATTCCCTCTAACAGTCAGGAAATCCTTCATAATCATTACTTCTGGTTCTTGGACTAACATTGCCTTCAAGAACAGTATAACCATCAGCTGCTGCATGGTAACTGCTCCTCTTTTTTGTGCTCATGGTGATCCTAATTGACAGAAAGTGACTGAACAAGACATCTCATTACTCCTATACAGTGGGATTAGCACATGCATTTCAGAAGGCACTGCTGCCTTGTCATATTGCTATCACTGATCATCTGACAGAATTTCTTTCTTAAACCTTAGGAATCCAGCTGTTCATTGATAGGCTCACTGGTCATAATGGTACAAGAGTTCTGTTGTCAAATGGATTTCAAACAATGTATTTCTCACATTCAGAATGCCCTGAATATGAGACCAGATTTTTGTTTAATCACCAAGTATATATTCCTCATAATCCAGTTTTGACTCCATCTGCTAGCTGTCAAAATTCCTCTAGGTAGTCATTTTGATACATGGGACACACCATTCCTAAGGAAGTCAGGGAGGAGTAGATTTTTTGCCATGTCAGCAGCTTGTTATTCATCTTTGCAAATGGGACTTAGTTTAGTGGCTGCGGACCCAAGAACTAGAAATAAATGCCCCATTGGTTGTGAAAAAAAGTTGCTATGGACCTTATCACACGGGGGTCTGAAGCAGTCCCATCCCCGTGGCATCCCCATCCCATCGCGCTTCCTTTCCCCGGGTGATCAAACGATGTCGCAGGGAAACCCTGCCCATCCCCGTTGCATCTCGGTTGCATCCCCATCCCATCGCGCTTCCTTTCCCCGGGTGATCAAATGATGTCGCAGGGAAACCCCGCCCATCCCTGTCGCATCCCTGTCGCATCCCCGTATCATCCCCGTTCTTTTGGATTCCTGGTCGAAATGGGAATTACATTTCCCGCGACCAGAAGGAAGCGCAATGGGACGGGGATGCGACTGCTTGGATCCCGTGTGATAAGGTCCTATGGCACTTTTGGAAATTAAGAGAGGAACCTTAGCTAAAGGGGCTGTTCCCAAATGAAGGTGAAATGAAGATTTATTTATTTTTCACTGCCTTAGAGAAGGGATAAGGAACATTTAATCTAGCCTACTTGCTTCTAATCAGAAGGTGGATGCAGAGTAGAGCAGAGGGTGAATTCTAGTGACACATGGGAGGGAAGAAGGAAGCTATACAAAGATATTCCCTGGAGAATCTTTGCTGTGTGGAGCAATCAATCAATTAT